AAAAAAAAAATTGTTTGCTGGAGTGGCGCTGTCAGTATGTTAGCAGTGCGTTTTTGACGCGTTTTGCGTTTTCGGGCCGTTTCCTGACCGTACAAAATGTGACATGCAGTATTTTTCTGTCGTAACCTGAATGGACTGCGCACGTGAGAACTGTAGCTCATAAAACACATAGGGATACATTGGGATGCATTTTTAGTGCAGTAGCGTACGGATCAGGTCAGCACAGAAAACGGACGTCGTGTGAACAGGCCCTGAAAGAAGCAGCTGCAGCCCTCTAGTGGCTGGTCTGATGCATAAACCTACCTGAAATTAAGCTGCATATTTCAAGTATATCTGACGCCATACTTTTTCATTTTGGATGGAGTAGAGGAGGGAGGGAGAGAGAGGAGAGGGAGAGAGAGGTAGAGAGAGGAGAGGGAGAGAGAGGTAGAGAGAGAGAGGTAGAGAGAGGAGAGGGAGAGAGAGGTAGAGAGAGGAGAGGTAGAGAGAGGAGAGGGAGAGAGAGGAGAGGGGAGAGAGAGAGAGAATGAATATATCTTTCCCATGTGAGGGAAATCCCCAGTTAGGGCTCGTCCACACCATCCCAACATGTGTACAAAGAAATGTATTTTATGTGCTATTTCTTCAGCTCACACATCAAGCTGTGGTATAAAAAAGCAGGACATGTTGAATTGTTGTGAAGCGTGTTCTGACGTGCTATAACGTACAGTTTGATAAAGTATCAAATCTAATAGATTTTTTTTTCAAGTAAGCACTGTGATGTGTTTTACAATGTTTCGCGAGTGTTATGTGCACCTTAACGGGTGCCAGCTGGTGTGAATAAGCCCTTAAAAACATAGGAAAATATAGCAAAACTACCCTTGCAGTGGGGTTATTCCTGCACTGAAAGGGTTAACTGCTCCTTTGTGGTAGTGGCATTGTGTAAGGGACTTTTACTTACCTGAGCTCCACTCCTCGGCAGTCAGTGCTCCCCTCTCTCTCCTATGGCCCGGCCTGTGGACTGTCCCTCGGTGTCCTCACATATAAAGCTGTGGGTCCTGCAATGTACATGATGACATCTCACCCTAATGAGGACACAGACAGCTAACATGACAGGAGTTTTAACCCCTCACTACTTTATCACATTCTAGCCTTTATTTATACTTTAAGAGCTTTATTATCAATGGCAGTTATTTCTTGTACACATTAGTCCCATGCTGTCCAGAACTAGCTATGTTCACAAATTCATGTGATAATTGTCCGTGTGCAAGAACGTTTAGGGGACAAAAGTAATGAAAGAGCCATTATGTTTTTAACTGATGTGCAATGGTGACATTCACAGGAATTTGTTACCTATAATAAGCGATCACAGAATTTTTCTGAAACAGTTGCTTACAGAGAGAGAGAAAATAAGGGGAAATGCAAAATGTCAGTGTTACTGGTACAGAATATAAGGGAAACTCCCCCGCAACAATGGGGACATTTCTTCTGGTGGCATCTGTTAAAAGTGTAATTTCCTCTCATTTTGGGGAGATTTTGACTCACTGGGGGAATTCACAAAGACTGGCACATGTGGAATAGTGCTCTAGTTTCTAAAATGAATACAATTCTATGCCAAGGGCCCCAAACTGTAAAACTTAGTGTAAGTAGATTGTTAATTTGGCTCATAGGG